TTAGTTACTGCTCCTAAAATTAAAATTTTAAATAATAATTTATTACTTTGATGATATAATATATAAAAAATATATAAAAGAAACAGAACATCCTATGTCATTTATAAGATAAACAGATAATCCTTTATTCTTTTTGCCAAGATTACATTACATAATATACACATTCAATATCAGACTTCTTCCAAGAGTACTATTGAATTGTTGTGTTCCTGTCATTTGGTTGCAAGAACAAAAGCATGATTTAGAGACAAAAATACTTAGAGGTAGTGATTTATATAACAATTTATTCCTATAACAAATACTAATTTATACAGCGCAGTTCAATATTCAGGCGCCGGGCTCTTAACTTTCGTGTATTCATCTTTTGTCGCATAGAACTGCAAAAAACATAAACATTGGTATGAGAATTCTTTTCGGAACAATCGATTCATCTAAAATGTTCGAACTTTAAACAATCTATTATTTGCATCAAACTTCAGAATAGAATTTCATTTGAAATTTCAAAGGCTACTTTGACAGTGTGTTTACTTGAGCCTTCATATGTTTCTTTTACAAAATTATATGTAGAACTCTAATCTTTTTCCCTCTGAATTCTGATGCGAATTGTGGATCGTTTAAAAATTTGGAGTAATAGATCGCATTCAGCACCTTGTAATGTTTATCTTTGTATGTATTCCATGGCTCAGCTTCCTTTTTGTTCAGCCAGGAAACATCGGGATTACGTGTCGCCAGGCGTAACGTGTACAGAAACGCGCCACAGCCTCCTAGACCTATGCAAAAGTACAGTGGCAGCAGCTGGAAAGAAAGAGATAGACATAAATCGCTCGGTGTCGCGCAATTGTTCCACGATACGAAAAAATTGGCAAGTCTCGCATGCTCACTGCCGGGTTCTTCATCACACTGCTGAAACTCATTCCCTGCATTTTCTTCATGATTGCAGCGTTCTACGGAAGATCTGTACAGTAGAAGAAGTATCAGATGTACCTCCGCGTACTGTTTTCCACAGCGCCGAACGAGTTTATGGCCAATACCTATCTGGCGACTGCGCGATAAAAGGCCAATCGCAGTGGATGCGAGATAGAAAAGCAAGAAGGACTTTTTTAAATATTCAATTTAAAAATTAAACTTTTGATTTTTAATTACTGAATGAATTTCTATTCCATTAAATAAAGAACTGATAGAAATAGGTTCTAGAACGTCATTATAATATATAAAGTGATTTTTATATAAGTGGATTAAGTATTTATAATTTTGTAAAAGTTGTATATGTTAATACAAAATATGTACAATATATGCATTTTATATATGCTTTTGTAATAAATTTATATTTCACAATTTTTGTGAAAAAATATATCGGATATACTTTTCATTGATGCACATATTACGTATTACATAAAGTGTCTCAAGTGCATTACACACATAAAATACACATACGCACGCATATATAAGATGTCCCAAATAAAATAATCAGTAATAGCGAATTCGATTGGTCGCACTAGTGCGCACTGAGTGTCGTCTGTCTCACTTTTACCAATGTCGATAGAAGTGAGAGAGGGAGCACTCAGTGCCCACTGGTGCACCCAATTGAATTCGCTATTAAATAATCAAAATACTTGGTTCATGCATATTGTTCCGGGACGTGATTGGACGCGAACCACCGTCCGTCGTGTGTCGTTGCGCGGCAGACTTGATGCGACCGCGATAAAGTGGCGGGATCAGGCGAGACTTCCTTGACCGACATCATCGTGCGACGTATCCAATGGCGGTATTTCGCTGGTAAAAGTGAATTTTTTCCACAGCTTTTGGGAGACGAGTATAAATATAAATGTTGATCTCAGAGCTGCGCGAAGACGCGCCGGAGTTGAGTAACGACACGTCGTCGTGTTCGGCGATGCTGCTCGTGTAACGATCCCGAACACGTTGTCGCCGTTCAGATTCGCTGAGCCCAGCTAAATTTAATGTTAGGACATCCGCCGATGTCACGTTCAGAATATCCCGTTTCAACGAGGCCAGGAATGAGCCGTCGTTGAATCCCGCATCGCTGTGATAATCCGCACTTCCGCGATCTGCCGAGATGGGCTTTTCCACGAGCCTGCAGGGTCAGGCGTCGCACGAGGCATTGCTAGCTCGCCAGGATGCCGAGATCAAGCTGCTGGAGACAATGCGAAGGTGCCTCACGACGAAGGTCAAATCCGACCGGGAATATGCCTCTACCATCTCGTCACTCACCACCCAGGGAAAAAGATCGAGCGTAACGAGGATCTTGTTGGCAGTCTCATAGCACAGGTAATTGCTTTTTTCTTGTTGATAAGCTTCGTCGAGGAAATGCGTGATTAATGTTATTGCAGTATACAATATGTGATAATAATTTGCCATAATATTCTATCTGCTGACAAATTGCTAACATACTGTTAAAGTTTTATGCTTAAAGTATAAAGAAATATGTATATTCCTACAGAGCTGGAGAGATATAATGGATTCTATTGATCAAACGGCAAAATTGATCAAACAACAGGCAGATTCTATTGAAAGTATTGTTGTGGATCAATTGAGTACATTATATTCGGAAAGAAGGAGAGCCAGAAAATTGTATCAAGAGGAGCAGACTTGGCTGAATACCCAGTTTCAGCAAGTAAGACAAATATATATTATAACATTAAGAAACAATGTTATATGTTACAGCAAATAATAATAAAAATGTAGCTTTTAATGCAATTGTTTTACTTATAAATGTTTTCTTTTTAATTTATTATCCATATTATTTATTTCTTGTATTGCATATATTTGAAGCTCACAGATGAGGTAACTAAAAAAAAAATGGAATATCAGAAGAGTTTAGAGATGTACAAATTAATGAGATCACGTTTTGAAGAATATTATGTTAAGTGTAAGTATTTTAGAAGAAGGTTCTGGATTATTTTGAATCTGTTATATAATAAAGAAATAATATAATGGCATAAATTTCTTTAGCTGGTAGAGGTGGCCGCAAGTTAGATGAAGTAAGAGAAAAGTATCAGAAGGCATGCAGGAAACTTCATTTAACACATAATGAATATGTACTACTATTAGGTGCTGTAACAGAATGTGAACATGATTTAAGAACTTGTTATTTACCAAGTTTGCTTCATCGACAACAGGCTATTCATCAAGAATTCATAACTTCATGGTGAGTGTTACTTTTGTTATAGTTTTTATAAGATATTCGAATGGAATCTTACTGACAAAATCATATCTCTCTATATCATTTTTTACAAGAAAAATCTTAATTTTTTATCTTCATTTTTCTACTTGCAACTAGAAATGGAGAAGGTAAAAACTTTATAGAACTTTATAGAATTTTATAGAAACTGTTACTATTTTTAATATATATATATATATATATATATATATATATATATATATATATATAC